GATATGTTCTATTTCCACTGTTATTTGATTCTAGGAACTTTTTTTTTTTGAGACAGGGTCTTACCATGTAGTTCAGGCTGGTCTTGAACTCACTATGTAGCCCAGGATTGCTTCAAACTTGCAGCGATCCTCCTGCCTAAGCATCTGGAGTGCTGGGATTACAAGTGCGTGCCACCACACCCGCTGATTCTAAGACCTTTTAAATTTTGTTCCTTCTTTAATTTCTTTACTTCTGTGACCCATTGATTATTCAGGAGTGTATTATTTACTCTCCATGTGTTTGTGCAATTTCTGTGAGTTTTTTGCTGTTGATTTCTAGTTTCATTCTATGACCTGATAACATACAGGAGGTTATTTCAATTCTTTTGTATTTATATTTAACCATGCCTTATGGCCTAAAATATGATCTATTTTTAAGTTCTGTGTGTTGCTGAGAAAAATGTGTATTCTGTTATTGGATGAAACACTCTAGATACCTGTTAAGTTCATTTGTGCAGTGGGGTGGTTCAACTCGGATATTCCTTTGTCGATATTTTTTCTGATTGACCTGTTTGCAAAAATGGGTATTGAAGTCCCCCACTATGATTATATTATTGTCCACCTGTTCTTTTGTGTCCAATAGCTTTTGTTTTAGGGAACTGGGTACAATAATATGTGGCATATACATTTTATTTCTTCCTGTTGAATTGTTCCCTTACCAGTATGTACTTATCTTCTTTGTCTCTTCTGATGAGTTTTGGCTTGAAATCTACTTTGTCTGAAAATAAGCTAGCTACTCCTGCTTGCTTTTGGACTTGTGTTGCACTGATCATCTTTTACCATCTTTTTACTTTCAGTTTATAAGTGTCTTTGTGGATCAGGTGTGGTTCTTGGAGGCAACACATGGTTAAGTTTTGTTTTTTGATCCCATCTGCCAATCTATTCTTTTAATTCAGGAGTTGAGACCATTAACATTGGTGTTATTATTGAAAGATGTTTACTGAATCCTGTCATTGCAATATTTTTCCAGTGCTGATTCCTCTGATGTATTCTTTTATTTGGGTTCGTTGTTGCTGCTGACTTCTCTGCCTCTATCTAGGATTCCTTTCAGTACCTTCTGCAATGTTCCTTTGATGATCTTTATTTCTTTAAATTCTCTGGCATAGAGAGTCTCCATTTCTCCATCTATTTTGAAGAATAATTTTGCAGGATATAGTAATCTGGATTGGCAATGGGGGGGAATATTTTGGTTTTTGTTTTTTGAGACAGGATCTCACTATGTAGTCCAGGCTGGCCTTGAAATCACTGTGTAGCTCAGGCTGGCCTCCAACTCACAGTGATCCTCTTGCCTCAGCCTCTTGAGTCCTGAGATTACATCACCACACCCTGTTTTGGATTGGCAATTTTTAGGGCTTGAAAATTTTCACTGCAAGCTTTTCTGGTCTCTAAGGCTGATGTGGAGAAATCTGCTATTAGTCTGGTAAACTTGCTTTTGTAGGTCACTTGATACTTTTCTCTACCAGCTTTAGTATTCTCTTTTGGTACTGAATTTCTTGGATTTGACTATGATGTGTTGTGGGGAGGTTGTTTTCTGGTTATGGCTATTTGGGGTTCTACATGCCACATTTACCAAGATATTGAATTATTTCCCTATATTTGGAGAATTTTCTTCTATGACTTCATTGAATAATAGTTTTCAGTGTCATCTTCTAACCTTTACCTAACTCTTGTCATTCTTAGGCTTATTTATTTTCTTTTGAGTCACCTAGCATCTACTGAGTCCTGCTTCCATGCTGTCTTATTGTTTTTAGAATATCACTGAGTACATGATTTGGTTGGATCTTTTTAAAAATTTATTTTGTTTTTTTTGTTGTTGTTGTTGTTGTTTTGGTACCGGGAATCGAACTCGGGACCTTGTGCTTGCCAGGCAGGCACTTGTACTGCTGAGCTACATCCCCGGCCCTAAAAAGTTATTTTGCCACCAGATGAGGTGGCACATGCCTGTAATCCCAGCACGAGGGAGGCTGTGGCAGGAGGATCACTGTGAGTTTGAAGCCAGCTTGGGCTACAAAGTAAATTCAAGGCCAGCCTGAACTGCATAGTGAGACCTGTCTCAAAAAGATTTTTTAAAAAAACCCTCACTTTGCCAATCTGTTTATGGCTTCATGGCGCAATTTTTGTAGATCATATGATTTATCTTTTCTTCTAGATTTTCAAAATTCATCATTTCTTCTAGGTTTTGAAATTTTTCAGCTTATAACTTCATAATAATCCCTAATGATCCTTTTGTATTTTTGTGTTATTGGTAGTAATATCTTCTTTGTCATCTCTGATTTTATTTATTTGGGTCTTCTCTCAGTTTTTTCTTGGTTAGTATAGCTAAGGTCCGTTTCTGAAAACTAACTCTTTGTTTCTCCCCCTACCCATTTTTTTTCTGTTCTGATCTTTGTTATTCCTTTTCTCTGCTAATTTTGAGTTTGGCTTGTTCTTGATTTGCTAGGTCCTTACCCTACACCTTTAGGTTGTTAATTTTAATCTTTTTTTAATATGTAGGCCAATGATGGGAACCTTTTAGAGCTTCCAATGACACAGCTTGCTGTGACACGTGTGCCATAGGTTTGCCACCACTGGTAACAGGCTTTTACTGCCAGAAACTCCCGCTAGAACTGCATTTTCCGTATATCATAAGTTTTAATGTGTTTTGTTTCCATTTTCATATGTTTTGAGAAATCTTTAAACTTCCCTTTTGATTTCTTCAGTGACCAAAAATCTGTTCAAAATCATGTTGTTCAGTATCTATGTATTTGCATCAGTTCTAAAGTTTCTCTTGTTGCTGACTTCTAGTTTTACTCCATTGTACACAGGGGTTTTTTGTTTTGTTTTGTTTTGTTTTTTTGTAGCATCCTAGACTTTAGCATATAAATCCCAAAGGATAAAAAGAGAAAAACGAATTTGGGTGTGGGAAAGATTCTCGCCATTGGGACTTTTTTCAGCAACCAGAACCTGGTCATCATAGTGGAAGGTGGGTAGCCACAGGCATGTGGCACCTGCCTTCTGTTCTGGCATTTGTACAAATCCACAAAGAGCTTGCTGTGTTCTTAAAGGGAAGTACCTTGGTCTCCCGATGCTGAAGAGCAACACCTTCCATTGTGCTCTGTGCTATTATATCCTTCTCCCATAACATGGGGCACCTGGTGCTGTGGTCAAAGTCCACTGCTGGATGAAGGTGGGCTCTCAAGGCTCCAACCCCAAGGCCAGGACAGTGGAATGTCTTTGGGGTCCCAGAGCAGAGATGGGAATATGCAGGGTTTTCTGATCCTTATAGGAGTCTGAGTTTGGACAATAGCTGACTTTTGAAAATGGCACCTAGGTTCAGCAGCCTGGAATTTTGTTAAGAGATAATGTAAAATCCTTCTCCAGAGCAAAGCTACTATGTAAAGTGCAGGTTGCTCGCTTAGCTAGAATGCAAGCCTGTGAGGCCTGTGCAACTTTCCAGTAGTTAGGATTGGATGGATGGTGTTTCCTGGGACTCTTTCATTTTCCCTTAAAACTGTAAGGGCATGTTCCCCTCCCTGGCTGTGAAGCCAGAGTAGCATTGGCCTGGATGCTTTGTGTCTCTTTCTGAAATAAATTCTCTGCGGTCTCTCAGTCTTAAATAAGTTTCTAGTCTTTTGCTGGTTTCCAGTATTCAATCACTGTAACTCACCTCAAAATGCAGCTGTGCACCTGCTACCTGCTTCTTCTTCGTGAGGAGAAGGTGAGTCGTAGGCACCCTGTTCAGCCATTCTCAATTCTAAGTTGTATTTAGTTAATGCACTTCTCATCTCCGTTTCATTTTCCTTTCTGTTTATGTTTCCGTTTCTGAATTGATATTTTCACTTTGTACACTCTTTTCTTAGCAGTTCCCACATTTCCCTTTAGTTCTTTTTTCCCCAGGGCTGAGATTTCAGCCCAGGCCTTCATGCGTGCTGACCAAGGACTCTACCAATGAGCCACCTCTTAGACTCTCATTCAATTCCGTAAGCTTCTAAGATGATAGTTTTTTAAACTATTTGCTGAGTAGACCTGCCATTGGGACTTTTCTGTTTATTTTTTTTCCTTTCAATGGGCCATATTTTCTGTTTGGGTGGACATTGGACTCTAACAAAGTGGTAGCTTTAGATACCATTTTCCTGCCTATTCTTCTGGGTTTGCTGGTTTTCTGTTAGTTTTGTTGCTGTTGTTCACTGTTTGGGGGATTTTTCTTTGTTTCAGCCTGTCTCTGTATTCAGGATCAGCCTAAGGTATAAGTTAGAATCATCTCAGATGTCTTTCCCAACCTGGCTGAGCACATGCAGTCACTTTTATTACAATTTTATTTGTACATAAGGTTTTTTATAATATCCTAGACTCTAGCGTATAAATCCTAAAAGGATGAAAAGAGAGCAATGAATTTCAGTATGGGAAAGATGCCACGTAGCCTTGTAAATCCACTAAAAATCAATTCAGCCGTAGGGGGTAGGTTCGTACCATGCCAAGTCTAGGGTGGAGAATAATCTATGATCAATGTAAATTAATAATTGTTTTGCACCTGAATAAAGATCAGTAGAAATATTTGACTAATTTCTAAAGTAGTACTCGATTTTAGTGTCCTGTTTGTGGACATAGGGGATAACTTTGTTTTTGGTTCTGCTTACCATAGAAGAGGGTGTGTACATGGATGTCCAGGTATCCCCGCTGGAGCTCCTGGTTAAAGAGCAAAGCATCTTATATCCTAATACTTCCCCAAATTGAGTGGGCTCTAGAACTTTACTGTAGCTTCTTCATACTCAAGATTATTAGAACTGAATTAGGGAATCTGCAATTCTAAGGTATTACAATAGGTTCAACACTCATAATTTTATACCTTTTTTAAAAAAAAGAAAATTCTCGGCAGGACTCCTAGAAGCATGGCCTAGAGGACTGCAGGTGTTCTGTCTCATCTGTGGATGTTTGCAGGACAGATGACTTGAGTTCTTACTTAAGGCAATTTTTGTAATTAGGTGAGGTCAAGAATTGGCTATTGTCCTCAGTTCGATGCTTTGCTGGACTATATGACTGGGAAGGAAATAATAACCATGTATGCCAGAGTATGGGGAGTATCTGAGCACCAGATTCCGCTGTATGTGGACAAACATTTGAAGTCACTGGAACTGGAGCCTCATGCCAACAATCTTATCAACACCTACAGGTGAGTCATTCTGCTGCCACACTTTTGTTGTTGATGCTGCTAATCTTGCTAATCCTGATACCTGAAATAAATGCACACAGCTCCATCTAAACCCTGCTGTTATACAGACACCTACCCCAGTATGGCAAAA